CACGGATAGCCCATTGTGTAGTTTTGTGCCTAATTACAAGCAAACAAACAAACAAGCGGCGGTGGTCAATTTCTTAATAATAGTATAAGCAAACGTTTTCATTCTGGTTTTTGAAACGTCTTTATACTGGTATTTGAGATACTAATATGGTATTCCACTTACAGATGATTATCAGACCCCTATATTTATTTTCTGTTTCTCCATTTCAACACAATTTTTTTAGGCGATCTGCAAGCACTTTAAATGGTGGTTGCCAATTTCTAAATTACTGTTAAGAACACTTTCATCGACACCTGCAAACTATCACTGTATCAGGAAGCAGGTTTGTCAGCTATTGAGCCAATGACCTACATCCAATATGAGGAATTATACGGTCTGTTCTCGACGTTAAAATATTTTTATTTGCGAACTTTCGGCTCTCTTACCGGGCAAAAATCTTCATCGGGCAACAATGTACTGAGCAATAAAGATTCGTTTTATCTATGGAACACTGCCTTAAAACGGGCAACAGTGTACTGAGCAATAAAGATTCGTTTTATCTTTGGAACACTGCCTTAAAACGGGCAACAGTGTACTGAGCAATAAAGATTCGTTTTATCTGTGGAACACTGCTTTAAAACAGGCGTCTAGGTAACAATCGTAACAATAACTGACATCTTGTAAATGGACAAATGAATTTGTATTGTTCAGTACATTGTTGCCCAATGAAGGTTTCGGTAAGAGGGCCAAAAGCTCGCAAATAAAAGTATTATAAAAGTTATAATACTACATATTAATTTACCTACCTTGTGAGTCTTAACAAATGACCTACATCCAAAGTCACAGGTGTGATTTTCTCCAGTTAACTCATTATTTTACCAATGTGTAGTTCATGTATATTTCTCTATTTACGTTTCACTGCTTATCATTGGTCGACTCTCATTTTAGCGCTAGTAACTTAAGTGTGCATGCTCCTCTCACCAAAAGCAGGCAACCAATACATATTCATCACATGTGGTTTGGGTAACAGTTCAAACTCTTCAGAAACGTATTCGAACCAGTAACCAAAATATGTTAATATATCATGAAAGTTTAAATTATGTATTTGTTTAAAGGAACAAGTATAACTTATTAGTAACACGTGCAGGCTTGTCAACTTTCCCGATATGGAGTCCTGTTCCCGATATCAACCTTTTTAATAATTTAACAAAAAAGAATAGAGTCACAAAATTCAACTTCACATAGAGCCAACCAGGATAAAGTAAATATTTACTGTGTAACATCGTTGTGTGTTATACTGTCTGTTTGTTGTACCACATTCCAATGCATTGAGTGAAAGGGCATTTTCAATGGTGAGAAAGATCGTAACAGGACTGATTTAGGGCATGACGCAGTATGTGTCCTTTTAAACTGTAAGATTAACTCATACTTCTCAGCCAGTAAATACGAGCCCAGCGAACAGGTATTGAAGATGCTAAAAGTGCATCATACGAGTATAACAAAGAACGCTAATCAGGATATGTGTATTTTTATTAATTTTCAATTCTTACAATAAAATTGTATAACAATATTAGCTGTGATTCTATTAGTATATAAGCCCACTGTAAATGAAAACATCAGTTTCAATCTTATAAGTGTAAATGAGTGTCTGAAATTTCCCAAAATGCGTAAAGGTGTACCTTTTTTTTTCTCTAAATTTTCTGGTGGAGCATTCCCACCCCCTCAGGGAACGCCACTCGCTGTTGCAGTGCCTTCACAAAAAAGTCTCCCGATTTGGCACCTCTCAGTGTTGAAAGGTATGTATGTGTGCCCGAGTAAAAAATGCCATTGCATTGTTTGGTGCTACTATAGCGTGCGGTCTACACAGATACTATCGTCATCACCATTTTAATGATTCACTAAAGCATCATTTCTTGCTAAATGATTTATATCTATCCACGTTTTTGTTCAACAAATAATAATTTAATAAGTTGTGTGTTCCGAAAGAGTACCTTAAATTTAGGTTATAATTGTGCTAGTTTTGGTTGTTGGAATTTATTTCATTCCGATTATATTTGCCCCAAAACGTTATATATTTTGTACTTTGTTAAGTTATTTATAATAGATGGCGCCAATTGCAAATAAACGAGAGTTAAAACGGTGACGATGACAGTAACTGTGTAGACCGCTCGCTATAGAAGCGTCCATTGTTCTTTAATTAACAATTAATTGCGCATATGAAAGTGAAAATGTTTTTTCAGTGGTGTGGGAAGGAGTTTAGAAGTTGGGGTGCTTAGCTAGACATACAGATAATATATTAACATAACTTACAGTTGCTATGCAAGTCAAATATGTAAAAGTGGGGGTGCTACGTCTCCGGGTCTTTTGACGTAATTGTAAAAAATGAGTACGTGACTTTGTGATGAGTACACTGGATTTGTGATGAGTACATTGGATTTGTGACTTTGTGATGTGTACATTGAATTTGTGATGAGTACACTGGATTTGTGATTTTGTGATGTGTACATTGATTTTGTGATGAGTACATTGGATTTGTGATGAGTACATTGGATTTGTGACTTTGTGATGAGTACACTGGATTTGTGACTTTGTGATGAGTACATTGGATTTGTGATGAGTACACTGGATTTGTGACTTTGTGATGAGCGCACTGGATTTGTGACTTTGTGATGAGTACACTGGATTTGTGACTTTGTGATGAGCGCACTGGATTTGTGACTTTGTGATGAGTACATTGGATTTGTGAGCTTGTAATGAGTACACTGGATTTGTGACTTTGTGATGAGCGCACTGGATTTGTGACTTTGTGATGAGCGCACTGGATTTGTGACTTTGTGATGAGTACACTGGATTTGTGACTTTGTGATGAATACACTGGATTTGTGACTTTGTGATGAGCGCACTGGATTTGTGACTTTGTGATGAGTACACTGGATTTGTGACTTTGTGATGAGCGCACTGGATTTGTGACTTTGTGATGAGTACACTGGATTTGTGACTTTGTGATGAGCGCACTGGATTTGTGACTTTGTGATGAGCGCACTGGATTTGTGACTTTGTGATGAGTACACTAGATTTGACGCGAGTCTTATCATTCCAGTTTTCCTTTGTACAAAATACAAACTAACCCCTTAATAAAATGTTCAAATATTCTGACAGCTTGAAACTAGAGTGGATAAAACTGGAGCCATTAACATAATTAAAATTTCTGTTTGATAAATACATTATTTTCAGTGAGCGTTAGTACGTATACAGTGAAATGCATTAATAGAAAATAATCATGGTACGGTCTGTATAAACTTTCTGCAATTATCCGTATAAGGCACATATCTTTTTTTTCTTTTTTGTACAATTTTAAACGTATTACGAAAACGCTAAGCGTGTCCAATAATAGCGAGTTATTTTTAAGAAGGTTCCAAACACCAGCCTAGTGTTTGCTAGAAGCACGTAATAGGCTGAAGAATTTACAAAAAAAAAAAAGTCCTTTGTGAGACACGTAACGTAAAATAGAAAAACTGTCAAAATTAAATTGAAACAGCTTTCAAGTGAGAACAAAACATTGAAATTGGTAGTTTATTTAATACTGCAGTTATCTAAACTTTTAAACGCAAGCTGTATCCTAGTTCCGTGGTGCGTAAACTGTAGGGGGCGCGCAACTATGAATATAGGGGCACCCAAGTTATATACTTGAAATTACAAATTTAAAAATACATAACTTTTCAAAACTCACATTCAATTATTACTACTATTAAATAATACAGTAACAACAATTAACATGGGGAAATGACATGTATAGTATAAACACAAATAGGCCATAGGGGGCGCTGGGGAGTAGCCAACAAAACGCTTCATTAGGAAGGCATGCACCATAAAAAAATGTTTGCGCACCACTGCTCTAGTTATACAGTAATTATTGTAAGCTTTTAAAAGGTGTCCACTAGTTTCCCTCCGGAATTCAAAGAAACATTAAATTTACAGCCACCAAAAATTTTATTTAACACGCCAAATGATAATATTAAAGAATCATTCTTAAATAAACAAACAAAAAGTTATTATTTAACTAGCATTAAATACAGTAGTGTTGCTTTGTGTTTGTAGACAACTGTAAAGGGAAGTAAAGAATAGTTTAAAAAGTTTAAGGTTTGGTTTGAATTTAGCCCAAAGCTACACGAGGACTATCTGCGTTAGCTAGCCGTCCTTAATTTAGCAGTGAAAGACTAGAGGGAAGTCAGTTCGTCATCACCACCCACAGCCAATTATTTTACCAACGAATAGTGGAATTGACCGCCACATTATAACGCCCCCACGGCTGAAAGGACGAGCATGTTTGGTGGGACGGGGATTCGATCCCTCGACCCTCAGATTGCGAGTCAAGCGCTATAACCATCTGGTCAAAAGGTTTAAGACTGGAGAAGGTCGAACCTTGGCAGTTCATGTGTTAATTGTAGAATGGTTGACAACTGCACGGATTGAAACGGGAGTATTTTTTAATACAAGTAAAATTTCCTGTGTCGTGTTCACTGCTGAGGGGCATTGTAGTTCTACTCAAAAAAAAAAAAAAAAAAAAAGAATATAATTATAGGGAAGTTTACTAATTTATTTGGAAAACTTTTATTATTTTAATACCATGCACACAATTGAACCAAAAAGAACTTACCCGCTACCAAGAGGAGCCAGAAACACCACCCATAATGGAACTTTAGAAGCCCTCCCTCAAAAGGAATCACTAACGGCTTCCTGGGTAGAAGAAGGGCATAGACGGCGTTCGTAAAGAGCATGACTCCACCAGTGAGTTGCATGCAGTACGCCCCATACCTCGGCACCGTACAAAGCAGTATGTTCATCAACAACCACAAGGAGAAAGCCGTCCTGGTGACAAAAGAAATGACCAAACTTAACAAATTTCTACAATATTTAGGTTTTACGCAAAACTTGTTATTGATGATTCGTACCTTAGAGAATACTAAAAACACCAAGAAATAACACAAGAGCTGATGGTCCAGCAATCATTATAACAAGGTCACTGCTATTGTGTGTTAAAATCATTGTTTTATGGTTGTTGACGTGGAGAAATCTTGTTTGTTAAGAATTTTCTTTGCACTACACAATACTAGTCAGTGGCGTATCCTGGCCGGTGGCTTTGGTATACTGCACTTATATATATATGCTTGTATAACAGTAATCAAAACATATAAAATATCCAAAATCATCAAGAAAAATGCGTAACTAAAAATATATTAGCATTTAGCATAATAAATAATACTAAATTAGCGCCATCTGGCATTTATTACCCTACTTTACACCGCAATCACGAGCGATATACTTCCAAGGTGTTTAACGCACGCTGATAGGCTGAACTGTCTTCACCGCACCAATTACCATGGACGAGACATATAATCAGTACTCGCACAGCCACTGCGGTCAACGATGGCGATATCTCGTGTAAATAATATCTTGTGTCACTGCTTTTTTCAAAACAGCAGTAATTACACATTTGTGCTAGTAATGGATGAGATTCAAATATTTTTATATTGACTAAAACATTATTTTTTTAATTCTCCCAAGGCTGGTTCTAAGTAAAGCACCTCACGATTTCAATGTTTCATCTTAGTTAGGACTATGTACAACGAAAATTCACCGACTTTTAAAACCATACAAAAATTGTGTGGTATTCCGCTAGGACTAATTGCTTCTTGATAGCTCCGAAAGAAAGACTTCATTTTATATAACTGCGAAATGCTACAATATATAAAAATCATCTGTCATTTTATCTTATAATTCCTCCTCCTCCCCCTACACCACTTTTTATCACTTCGTCGTATTTATAGTGTTTTAGATAGTTATAAAAGTCAAACTTTACGTGTTCTGGGTGACTCCAGTAAACACTTACCACAGAAGGATATTAGAGTAATATCCAGCTTGGCGATATCGACGTCCCCAGCAGAATCCTTCCAAATCCTGACTCAAATACTCAGCTATGGTTAGGATAGGAAACGGTAAAACCTTTGATCAAAGCCTCTCTGTACTCTTCTTTTAATTCTGTGGCTAAAAGATGGAAAAATTCGAATATTAATATTTCATCTAATGTCACAACTAAGAAAGAGGAAATTATGTAATTTAAAAACAAATTGTTATCAAAGAGTATTTCGTAGCTGAACGACAAGTGTTCGATTTTTATGATTTTCAATCGCTAGAACTTGTTTCAATTTGTTCCATTGCTTCGCATTATCTTAAGTAGCTGAATAATCTGTACCACGTGGTACACATCGAGCAATGAGAGCGTAATTTTTACAGAATTCGTCTGGCGAAACAAGATAAGTACCTGGTAAAGGACAACACGCCGTATACATACACCTTTGATTTTTGTATTTGTAAACTGTAAATTGACTGATTTAACGCCACAATAGCGTTTATCTTCTTGAATTTGCAAAAAAAAAAATTCTCTGTTTGTTTAGTGTCTCCGTATTAAAATATTGAGCTACATAATTGTACGTTTTTGTTTTCAATTTCTTTCACTAAATGGACTTAAAGGGGTGGTCTTAATCAATGTTAACCACAGAACTGACCATTGTATGGACCTGTTTCAGAATTTTTGCGTTATAAACCCTCAAGCTTATTGCTAAGCTTACAGGGAGGTGTGTGTATGGATATAAAAGATATGGAACGTGCAGCCAACATCATTAATAAACTACGCCATTCACTTCAATTCTGGCACAAAACAACATTTCATAAAATGACAATTTCTCACACATTAATTCACGGAGATAGAAATAAACCCCAATAATATAATTCGATTTATTGGCAGTAACATCCAAAACACAGTTTTAAACTTTTGTCCCGCCAGGAAGGACGCCATCAAAGTCTTTCTGAACACAATTAGTCACTGCAATCATCAAATAAGTGTACACAAAACCACTTCATCCGTGCATGACGTCTTCACTTAACTATGTTAACAACAACAAACAAACTTTAATTATACTTTCAGTAAACATTATTTATACTGACAGCAGCCCCCTTCCCCCTTACCCTATGGATACTATGCACATTTTCCATGTGGAGTAGAGGTACTGACGGGGTAGTCATTTGTACCCAACCCATCTTCAGTACATAAAATACTACTGTATTGCCAACCAGTGTGTTGATTGGTAGTCATTTGTACCCAACACATCTTCAGTACAGAGAACAAATACTACTGTATTGTCAACCAGTGTGTTGATTGGTAGTCACTTGTATCCAAAACATCTTCAGTACAGAGAACAAATACTACTGTATTGTCAACCAGTGTGTTGATTGGTAGTCATTTGTACCCAACCCATATTCAGTACATAAAATACTACTGTATTGTCAATCAGTGTGTTGATTGGTAGTCACTTGTATCCAACACATCTTCAGTACATAAAATACTACTGTCTTGTCCACCAGTGTGTTGATTGGTAGTCACTTGTATCCAACACATCTTCAGTACATAAAATACTACTGTATTGTCAACCAGTGTGTTGATTGGTAGTCACTTGTACCCAATACAGTAGTATTTTATGTACTGAAGATGGGTTGGGTACAAGTGACTACCAATCAACACACTGGTTGGCAAGACAGTAGTATTTGTTCTCTGTACTGAAGATGTGTTGGGTACAAGTGACTACCAATCAACACACTGGTGGACAAGACAGTAGTATTTGTTCTCTGTACTGAAGATGTGTTGTCAACCAGTGTGTTGATTGGTAGTCACTTGTACCCAACACATCTTCAGTACAGAGAACAAATACTACTGTATTGTCAACCAGTGTGTTGATTGGTAGTCACTTGTACCAACACATCTTCAGTACAGAGAACAAATACTACTGTATTGTCAACCAGTGTGTTGATTGGTAGTCACTTGTACTCAACACATCTTCAGTACAGAGAACAAATACTACTGTATTGTCAACCAGTGTGTTGATTGGTAGTCACTTGTACCCAACACATCTTCAGTACAGAGAACAAATACTACTGTATTGTCAACCAGTGTGTTGATTGGTAGTCACTTGTACCCAACACATCTTCAGTACAGAGAACAAATACTACTGTATTGCTAGCCAGTACAGTGATGGATAATTGTTTCTACCTGTGGGTGCAGTGCAGCAGAAGCATCGCTCCAGCACCTGAAATTGGAGTTGAGCCCCGACGCTTCAAAAACTAAATAATAATATATATATATATATGTTATCAATTTTACACCCGAAATTGTCTTTCATAATCAAACTGTCAGAGTATCAGAGAATATGCTGGCTGTTTGTGATCGTGTCCACTGGTATAACTCTCGCAGAGCACCCAGTACACACTCTGTCACTTTCCATCAGGAGCTGTTGTCAGGCTCCGTATGACCGCACCAGTGTTAAAATGGTGAAATTTTTTTGTCATACCTCACGTATTTATTAAGACACGAATATGGCATTATAACACTTAATAAGATACATTTTACGATCGTATCGTGTGTGTTTGATACGAACACATTTTTAAAATGCTTATTATTTACATAATATACAATGAAAGTCTTTTTTTTTTGGTATTCGTGTTGTCAGGTCGAGGTGACTAAACTTTATAAAACATAAAGTTGTTAATACTGTAGTGCAGTTAGAAATATAGTAAACTGATAAGATATACGTTTTTAAAACTTGTTTTGATGCTAGTGATTTTTAAAGCTGTTTTTTCCTTGCTGCTTAATTTAAAGGAAGTTGAGTTGCTTATTTACTCTGTAACATATACGTGTTAAGTTTAGTACTAATGTCAGTACTCTCAAATAATAAGTACTGCACATATTTTCTTTATTTAAAATGTACTAAAAAAGGAAATTAGAATTTGAATACGAGATCTTTACCCTGATGATGACGTCACACGCCTGACCAATTATGGCATGGCTCCGTCACTATAACATTTAGCATTTTTATATTTCATTTTACACTGACTTAACTGCAGGCTCTAAAGCAACGAGAGCCTTCATCCAATTCACGTATACACTTTCGTTTGAACCAGACAAAACTAAAACAGTAACTTTGGCACATGATAAGGACCATTCGTGAATTAAAATACAAATTAATTTGATCGTTCAAGCATGAAGCTCCTGCTTCTTTATTAGTTCCATTTCAATACTTATACGGAACAGCCAGGATCTACCAACACACACACACTTACCCCCGAGTCACTGGGGGCCACAAATGTATGGTCAAACTAGTATTTGGTAATAAAAAATATAGTTTTTAGCTGCTTATAAAAAATCTCGAAAACTGATAAATAAAACAGACAAACTAATGTGATATATCAGTATTGAAGATTGACGTATGAAGATCTGATAACCTTAACGTGAAAAGAATGTAAAGGCATAGAATAACTTATATTTTTTCCCCATACCAATAAAAAAACTAAGTTTTTCACTTACTTCATATCGAATCCAAATTCTAGGTTATACGCGATTGTTGAAGTTATGGACTACCTTATTAATTGTTCAGGCTTACTTGGACCAGTTTTGAGAAACAGACATAAAAAAAATTAATTAAAATATAAACAAGTTTTTCGTGTTAAACTGAAATTTGGCATCAACTTATAACGTTCCAACATTCAATTACTATTGCATTGCATTATGACAGTTACACACATACATGTGATATATATATATGTATAAAAATAAACTTACCTCCAATCCAACTGAATCTTTCGTTGTAATTTATGTCTTCTAATATAGAATTTATCGGCATAGCTGTTCAAAATCAAAACAAAAAATATCTTTTACTATTAATGTTTAAAGCTACTAGTATAGTACTGATTTTTTTTTTTCGGTAAAGTAAATATAATAGCAACAAACGACACTGTTAGAACAAGATACACTGGTGGGTACAGCACAGGACGTAGTCGTTGTGGCTTTCCCACAACCCCTCACAAATAAAAAAATGATGAAAAAAACGAAGGAAGTCCTTTGGAGCTGGAGGCGTATTACGGCTTTCCGTAATCTCTTGTTACTTACAACAGGCGCCTTCTGAAAACCCTGGACCCACCAGTAGTTGATAAAAGTAAATTAAGTACATGCACAGAATACCTTGAACGATTGAAAAGTGCCCAAGTTAGGCTACTAACTCTTAAGAAATTACACTTTACTTTTTTAAGCATCAAATCTATTACACTGTGAATACAAACTATAGAACTGGATATTAGTAAACAATGGCACATTTAAAGATTTAATGGTACTTTTAGCTTTACGAAAGAAATTTCGCTGTTAATATACACACTTGACCCTGAATGCTATTTTTCGTAAAATATTCATTCTCAGTTATTTTTTTATATTTACGTTTACCATTGTTCATACTTACCCCTGAGTGTTATATTAACACCATTCAAACCAATGTGTACCCCTAAATCTGTTTCAATCTTCTGGGTGGAAAACGCATGATGAGAAGTGTATATCGTAGTCTCTGCCACATGCCAATCAGAACCGAAGTTACAGACTAGAACAAAAGAAATTATAATATGTCAGTTTGTAAATAGATAATTGAGCAAAATAGTTCTATTTTAATGTTACATAATAGGGAATGAATGATAAAGTAAGTAGTGTTAGGAGTAATTACAGTACAACTTTTTATAAGAAGAACAAGCTGGAAAGCAAACTTAGCCTTGATTTTCGTATTGTAAAACTTAAAAACAAGGTAAATCGAACAAGAAGTAATCTCATATTTTTTAAATTAACGTGGTAGAATTTTCAGGTTATTACAAATTACAAACGGCATGAATTCATACCAATATCTGGGCATAAAAAAAAAAGATTATGTCCTCTGCAAAGTTTTCCGAATAGTTAATTAATTTTTTTACCTATGTTCCATCTAAGAAAATCAGATGCAAATTTTCTGTTACTCAGTAAGTTAACAGAGGGCACAACGAATTCTTCACGATTTACTACGCAAACTCCCTGCTGTTAAGTGTGACTCGGCTAATTATACATCATTTTGTCCTAATTTTTCTTACTTTAGTGCATTCAATTTCTGACATTTTACGCTTCGTTTACAAGTACTTTGATGACACAAAAACACAGTTTCGTAACATATACCCTAAGAGATAGTATATTTTAAATTAATAACGAGCCTAAATGAACAGTATCGTTATAAAACTTTCACTTAACAGGGTTATTTGTATTTTTTTGTAGTCGATATTTTTGTTGTAGACGGAAGTTTATAATAATATGATAGACGTGGTCTTAACGTATTGTACTTCCTTCAAAGTTGAGGAAATACTTTTAGCCACGAGTATCATAAAACGAGTTAGGCTTGAGTGGGTTAACGAGATTTACTCATTTGATAAGTAATCAGTGCACGATTTAGTAGGTTTGTCTATTATTGTCAGTCAATTAATTAGTTCATTGCTGCAAATATTGACGTTGTGTTTAAACGAAGATATAAAGATAGGAAATTAGCAAATGAAATTTCTGTTAGACTTTTTGTTTAAGTTAGGCCTATTGATGAACGTTCGTTCCGTTAATCGTGGTACTTCAAGTACAAGAAATACATTTTTGTCATCACTAAGTGGACTATACCTTGCGTTATCAATTTTAATGAAGACTATACCTTCCATTATTAATTTTAATGAATGGTCAAGAAGAACCCGACCTACACAGAAGCCATTCCAATACTTTGTTCTAAGGCCTAAGTTTCTAAAGTTATAACCTAACATCCCATATGCTAAAGAGCTCGACCAACATAGAAACCATTACAATACCTTTGTTTTAAGGCCTAAGTTTCTAAAGTTATAACCTAACATCCCATATGCTAAAGAGCTCGACCAACATAGAAACCATTACAATACCTTTGTTTTAAGGCCTAAGTTTCTAAAGTTATAACCTAACATCCCATATGCTAAATAGCTCGATCAACATAGAAACCATTACAATACCTTTGTTTTAAGGCCAAAGTTTCTAAAGTTAAATCCTAACATCCCATATGCTAAAGAGTAAGATGTATTTTTAATGTCTATAAACAATTTCTACATCTTATTTGCAGTTATATCTCTTAAGTTTACTAATATTTTGAGTTAACTAATACTTTAAAAAGGAAAGCCGATGGGATTTGAAATAACTTGATGAAATGGTATATTTGGACTGTTTGTGTTGTTTGTTGAGTTTCGCGTAAAGCTACTCGAGGGCTATCTGCACTAGCCAAACATGATTAAAAACAAAAAAATTGACGGAAGGTAGCTAGGAAACGTCACCCACGACCTGTTCCTGTGGAGCGCAATTTATTTTATTTTATTTTTTCTTTGTCGGAACAAGGTGCGAACCTCGTAACCACAGTGTGGGCCGCTAACCACCGGCCTGCCTTCTCCTCCCCATCTATCACAAAAATTATCATTATCATTAGAATTCGTAAACGTTTGATAGCTATTTATGGCATTTTGATATTCGAAAAACAATTATTATTATTATATTATTTTTTATATAAATAATTATTATTACTATTTATAAAACGTGTCAGGTGTTAAGCATCTTATATCGTGTTAATGGTGAAAACATTAGGTTACTCAGTATTTTGATAAGCCATTCTGAAACTTGAGGCCCGGCATGGCCAGGTGGTTAGGGCGCTCGACTCGCAATCTGCGGGTTCGAATCCCCGTCACACCAAACATGCTCACCCTTTCAGCCGTGGGTGCGTTATAATGTGACGGTCAATCCCACTATTCGTTGGTAAAAGAGTAGCCCAAGAGTTGGCGGTGGGTGGTTGCCTTCTTACACTGCTAAATTAGGGACGGCTAACGCGAAATTAACACCAAACCAAACCTGAAACTTGAACATGCAATACACACAAAGAAATTCACACCTGCAGAATGACTGTAATCCGTACATCATAAACAAGAATGTTTTTAGGTAAGTTTATCAAAGTCTGCCGCTGTTTGATACTTAAGTTTTTTTGTTCGCTTTTTCTCTAAAAAATAAATAAATAAATACAGGTTATGGTCAAATTCAAACGACTACATAAGCTAACTGTTTTATCATCACCTTATGACAAAAAATAAATGTTGTTTGTCCGTTCGGTACTTCGAACACGTTATTTTTTTATTGGTAACCAATATGGCCGCCAAATGTAAGTGGCCTGGCATGTCCAGATGTTTAGGGGAGCTCGACTCGCAATCTGCAGGTCGCGGGTTCGAATCTCCGTTCCATCAAACACACTCGCCCCTTTTAGCCGTGACGGTCAATTCCACTATTCATTGGTAAAAGAGTTGGAGGTGGGTGGTGATGACTAGCTGCCTTCCCTCTAGTGTTTCACTGCTGAATTAGGGATGGCTAGTGCAGATAGCCCTCGTGTAGCTTTGCGCGAAATTAAAAACAAACCGAATGTAAGCTTACAATTTAAACTTCAGGCTAAATTGTGATATTATGAAACAACGAACAAAAGAGGCAGCACAAAGCTACACAATAAACTCTGTACGCCATAGGAATCGAACACGCTTGATTAAACCTTTTACGTTTGTAAACTTACCGCCGACCCACTGGGAGACAGATTCACAAAAAAGGTGTTGTAAAAAACAAAGATTGAAACAGACACTTACCAAGAATCACTGCTCCAACGAAGAGACTGATAGTGACACATACGAATGTAGAAAGTCTCTGTAGAAATATATAAAATAATAATAAATATTCGAAAAGTAAAAAAAAAACGGTATTTCAAATATCTCAAAATTTGAAATATTTAAAATAGCAGGTGAAACTGAATATTAAATAAAGATAGTAAAACTTTTCACAACACTTCTGGAAATTGCAATGAAGTTGTAGCTGCTGAAATAAAGTCATAATATTAATATTAGTGTATATTATATCGTTAAAGTTTCGGTTGCATTTAATTAAAAGTAGAATTTGTAGAATACTTCTACTCGGGAACGAGGCTGACACCATATAACAAAGTTTTTCTTTGTAGAAAATCCGAAGAACGAATCAGATAAGCTGATTGTATAAAGTATCGCATCAATACTTTCTACAGTTTGAACATTTAAACACCAGTTAGCTATTTAAATTTACAGAATAAAATTAGTTCTACTACTGAGCCTTCTTTTAGTATTCTTAAAAATCGATTTACTTAAATTAGTCATTGTTCTTGATCAGTAAAAGTGAAAAGAACATTAAAACCTGATGTCCTAGTACGATAAACCATCAAAGTAAAATGTAGTTCTGACTAATGATAGTCGTTACATCGACGTTTTTAAAATTAAGAGTCAGTCGTCTTTAAAGAGTCATATTTTCTGGGTTTTATTGAAGAGGAGGATAAAGAGGCAGAGAAAGTTGTGTGTTAATTGTCTTCACAGAACCGAGCATCACACTTCAGTAGAATCAAAGGATAATGTATATGGCCTAATGTCAACAAATTTCTACTTGTCATGTTACCAGATAGTGGCGTAACTATAAAAGATGCACCCCCTCCCGCATAAAAAGTAATTGGTTTGTTTGTTTTTGAATTTCGCGCAAAGCTACACGAGGGCAATCTGCGCTAGCCGTCCCTAATTTAGCAGTGTAAGATTAGAGGGAAGGCAGCTAGTCATCACAACCATCCGCCAACTCTTGGGCTACTCTTTTACCAACGAATAGTGGAATTGACCGTCACATCATAACGCCCCCACGGCTGAAAGCGTGAGCATGTTTGGTGTGACGGAGATTCGAACCCGCGACCCTCAGATTGCGAGTCGAGCGCCCTAACCACCTGGCCATGCCGGGCCGAAAAGTAATTGGACCCCTATATTTATTTTCTAGCTGATTCGACCCCTCTTTTTGTTCGGCCTCCCTTCAGTTTCGGACATACTTACGCCACTGTTACCAGATGATTGTTTTTTTGTTTGTAGTTAAGCACAAAGCTACACAAAGGGTTATCTGTGATCTGCCCACCACGGGTATCGAAACCCGGTTTCTAGCGTTGTAAGTCCGCAGACATACTGCTGTGCTACTAAGGGCATTACTAGATGAACCAACCTGATAATCACATAAACATACCACGCCAATTAAATTTTTAAACGTTAATACTCAAATCTTTTACGTGTTTGTATGTTCAATTTATTTCTTAAAACCTCAGTTGCACATAACATATGTCACTGAATTAACCAGTTATGACCCTTTCCTAATGCAAGTAAAAATGCTTGGAAGTTTAGATCAATAAAGATTAGAACACTGTTAGCAATAAAACCAAAAATGTATTTATTTTATATTAACTTTAAATCGTGCTTTGTCATAATGTTAGGAACGGTCGTTTTGACGGATTTCTATTTTTTGTTTTGTTTTTTTCTAGACGGTGAGGCCCCCCAGTGGCACAGTTGTATGTCTGCGTACTTACAACGCTAGAAACCGGGTTTCGATACCCGTGGTGGGCAGAGCACAGATAGCCCTTGTGTAGCTTTGTGCATAATTAAAAACAAACAAACAAACAGACGGTGAGAGAAAGGTATACATTTCGTTGAAACTAAGTTAGGGTTAGAGCATGCAGAGATACCAATGCTTGGTAAGGTAATCAAAACTGACATTCAGTAACTATACTGACCAACCATATGTTACTACTAACGGCAGGAAATCAACTCATCTAGCGTCAGTAAAAAGTTTACTGATAACAACATCAGCCTAAAGACATATCTTGGCTGTTACTAACTTTAAGAAGGTTATTGGATGGAGGAGCGCCTATACCAGGACCTGTGCCAAACTCCTCTCGCATATAATTGTAGTAGAAGTACTAGTATTAAGATCATCTTATTTACATTAGGTACTGGGCGTTAGAATAATATTAATAATTAAATGCTAAAAAGATACAAAATAGTATAAATAATAATAAAGTAAAAGTGATTGCTGACGGGCGGTTGCCTCCCATTGGTTAGTGACTTTGAATTAGGGACGGCGCAATGCTACCTAGAGTGCACACCGACAAACGTGATTAACTTCTCTTGTGTATAAATCAAATTCCCGATTGTTACGGGACTCAGAGCTAACTTGGAGGAACTAATCTTTAGCTCATTCCTTCAGCGCAATTAACTCTGGATTAGGCTTAAAGGCTCGTAGATAAATTTTAAATGAAAAAAAAATCTAGCTAGTACTATTGCCACAAATGAGGCAGACAATTCGTTTCGCGTGACATAGCAAGGTGCGCTAGACTCCATATCTGTACGACGGCAACGACCGGTTCTTATTTAACCGTGATTTGAATGTTGATAACATAAGCTTGTACGAAACCTGTATTTGTCTTGTCGAAAACATTTATCTCTTAGCCAAGAAGTTTTGTCTTTTTTCCTTATTATATGAATTTATAAATAATAGTTAAACCCCACAAAATTATTTAGATATTCCCATCTTGGGTCATCAAAGATATACAGACCAGTCCTTAACCTTCGTTTTACCTAACACAAGATTATTTAGGTATTCCCATCTTGGGTATCAAAGATACACAGACCAGTCCTTAACCTTTGTTTTACCTAACACAAGATTATTTAGGTATCCCCATCTTGGGTATCAAAGATATACAGACCAGTCCTCAACCTTCGTTTTACTTAACACAAGATTATTTAGGTATTCCCATCTTGAGTATCAAAGATATACAGACCAGTCCTTAACCTTCGTTTTACTTAACACAAGATTATTTAGGTATTCCCATCTTGGGTAATCGAAGATATACAGACCAGACCTTAACCTTCGTTTTCCCGAATGATTTTATATTTATCTTATATCTGTTTAACCATCGCTCAAACTAAGAATTCATTTTCGCGTCAGTTTCCAGTCTTTCCCTTATCCCACCCTCATACAACCTCGAAAGAATCTAATAATCCTTTTACCTCCCGTAAATACAACCACAAACCTCGTCTATCTGTCCCCACATTGGTGGATGAAGGGGCACTCCTGTCCCTGAACATCCTTGGGGGAATCCATCATAATAAAATTCTCGTTTCGTTTGTACCAAAACTGTCTACTGTCTTTCAACACATATGCAGTAAACAAAGTGTGTGTGTGTGTGTGTTACTTATAGCAAAGACACATTGGGCTATCTGCTGTGTCCACCGAGGGGAATCAAATTCCTGATTTTAGCGTTGTAAGTCCGTAGACTGTAAACAAAGAAAAACCTCCAGAAAACATTTATTGATTTGAAATGAAAAAATCATAAAATATACTCGGTTCATTATAAAAGCGGCCAACATAAATTCTGTACACTTCCATTTTATTAGGGTATGGGTTCTGTAAAAAAAAAAGAAAAAGAAAAAAAAAGACGGATAAATTAAAAAAAAAGCTTTTACTACATATTTTTTTTATTATGTGAAAGTTAATTTTTCAGTATTGAAAACTATCTCTTAAGTGTGTGTGTGGGGTGGGGGGGTGAAGTTTACTGACAATAGTTCCGTAAGAAAGCCCACTTTTGCCTAAAAAAGATCGGTTTCAGATATCGAAATATCTTATTTAATCACCAGTTTATTGTAAATATTAAAGTAAGGCCATTGTGGCCTTACATTACCAACATATTTTACTGTAATCATCGTCAGTGGCGGTAGAATAATTATCTCTCTCGACATCTCAACAATTCGAATTAGAATTAACAGCTTCGAAGGGAGTTCAGAGTTTACTGAATTGTTGAAATAACAGTTCCGTGAAGATACATTCAGTCACAATATGAAAAATCCTTTTTGTCCTCTATACTCACAGGGGGACGGAACCGGGGGGGGGCACATGCCCCCTCCCCCAAATTTTGACCTGGTTGCGAAGGGCCCCTTTGAATAAATAATATAAATTGATGTATAATTATCAAGGAATGTCGCTGTCTCAACTTCGACTTCAATGTTAGCATATATCAAATCAGGGTTCTCCCCACCCCCAGAATTAAAATCTGTTCCATCGCTTATCTCTAAAGTAGTCCTCTCTAAAAAACAACAACATCAAATATAATTACTAAAAGCGTAGTTCTGACTACAAAATGATTAAGTTTTGTCTGGTAGTTCCTAATGTGAAAACGCGCTGTACTTTTATGTAAGTAACACTGTTTAGATTGACTATCACTGACTGGCGCCTGGTACTTACTTCTTTTCGTATACCGGGAAACACAATAAGAAAGGCAAGAAAGACTGTGGAGAAGCTGACGTAAATGACGATATTCCTTATATCCTCGATCACAGGCGTCCGGTTAGAGTAAGTGTACAACGTCGGGCCCCCGTCACTTCGGAAGGCATCGAACCAACCCTTCACCATTGTTTTAGTCTAATAGTAGAGCAAAAAAAAACTACACTCGAACTGTCTTCTATTCACTGAATTATTGTAGAATTGTGAATAATCAGGTAAGCGTAGGTCGTTTTAGCAAAGAGTCTTAAGAAGTTCAACTTGACTTAACGTTACAAGCGGATCTCACGTGCAGCATGTGCTGTGGTGGTGGTGGTCAATGGATAAGTGAGTGCCAGTGAAAGTGAAGCGGTCTTCAAATATACTCACTCTGTAGTTTTTTCGGTCCAACACGTTGAGAGTGGCCTTCTACCTTAAAACTAAACAAAAACAAAAGAAAAATAACTGGCATACATATATTGGCCCACATTTTGTTTCTAACTGAACGTTTCACTAAAGCAGGTCAAGGGCCACGAATTACGTTATGTTGCATCAACAGCGACTAATCAGCTGACGTTTACGGCTCGTTCTCTCGACGAGTGTGTCCGAGATGATTTTTCCAACTCTAACGCATGCGCAGAACACATTGCTGGCAGCTCGGGCAAATCATTCCGAGTAAGATAAACGTTATCACATTTGTAAGTGAAAGCTGATGCTGGTCACTTCTAGGCTTAGCATGTGACATTGTGTTTACTTCTAGGTTTAGTATGTGACATTGTGTTTACTTCTAGGTTTAGCATGTGACATTGTGTTTACTTCTAGGCTTAGCATGTGACATCGTGTTTACTTCTAGGTTTAGCATGTGACATTGTGTTTACTTCTAGGTTTAGCATGTGACATCGTGTTTACTTCTAGGTTTAGCATGTGACGTTGTGTTTACTTCTAGGTTTAGCATGTGACATTGTGTTTACTTCTAGGTTTAGCATGTGACATTGTGTTTACTTCTAGGTTTAGCATGTGACATTGTGTTTACTTCTAGGTTTAGCATGTGACATTGTGTTTACTTCTAGGTTTAGCATGTGACATTGTGTATTACTTCTAGGCTTAGCATGTAACATTGTGTTTACTTCTAGGTTTAGCATGTAACATTGTGTTTACTGAACTTATGTTAATCATAAATTAGACGTTAATATACTTAACACATATGATTTTTGTAAACACTTTTGCTGATATATTCCAACACTTCGCTATTTCCTTTTTCTTTATTTTAACTTTTCCCCTACCATAAATTAAACTATATTCTTAACTAGCTGGAACACAGCAACAACACTATATTAAAAACTAACTGGAGTACCCGTCTCATGGACAGAATTTATGTAAATTCGTGATTAATGAAAGGTTATCTTAGGACATGAAAAGCTGCTTCCCTTATATGTAATTATGAAAAACGCAAAGACGCTCATAAAAACTGCAAGACACAAAATGTGAAACTGAAAATTTGTATGTATCTCCCCATAAACCCAGTGAACATCCATACCAAATTTGGTGAAGATCTATCAACAGGGGGCGAAATAGTGGTGCAAAATGCAAAACTGAAAATTTGTATGTACCCCCGCATGGACCTAATGAGCCTCCACACTAATTTTGTTGAATATCTAACATGGACAGACAACAGACAGTACTATTATATTTATATAGATACAGGCTACATATGGCAAAACCGACTTCAATGTGCTCTACGTGAAAGCAACAGACTCAGAACAACACAATTATCGTGCAATACAAACTTTTCCAACGACAGGCACCTGTTTATGTAAGGGATGCGTAGCCAATATTTCCGTCACTTAACCCATTTCCCCTCCCCAGTTGCGCAACGGTACGTCTGCGGACTTGCAACACTAAAACCGGGTTTCGATACCGGTTGTGGGTAGAGCACAGATAGCCCATTGTGTAGCTTTGTGCTTTACTTCAAACAAATAGACAAACAAACCGTCGACTGATTGAAGGAAATATTTAACCCAACACAGGCAAGTACGTCTTCAAATATGTGGGTTTGTTTGTTTTACAGCAAAGCCACATTGGACTATCTGCCTTGCTAATCGCGGCCACTCGAACCTCGGATTTTAGCGTTGTATGTACGTAACCAAATATGTGTAAAACATCATATTTTCTCTTTCAATCAATATCTGGTACGCCAGGAAGTTTACATTGTTTACAGAATCGTGTCAAACTGTTTCGTCTCGTAGTTAAACCAGGTGTTTTATTTAAGACATATCCAAAATATCGACTCATCGGAAAATATATCAAAGAAACGCCTCAGTTTAGGCAATAATGATTTATCCAGCCAAGTCACTTTTTAGAAGTGATTAAATCTAAACAAAACAAAACTGATATGACACGTCTGTCATTTTGTGTTCAAATTTGGAATTGTCATTCTGTTAGTAAGTGAAATGCCATAGGAAGCAAATTTGGAGTGGTCAGGCCATTGCCACATTGTCATTTCTAGGGCGCTCTGGGGACATGCCCCCCAAATATTTTGAAGATTCAATGCTATGAAATTGAATCTCGAACCATTTTAACTAAAAATACTGCATATACACAGCGTAATGTGTAGAATTAAAAGAAGCAATTTTTAATACATAAGTTGTAGCTTTACATGCCATGAATAAGTGGTCAGGCCATGGCCTGACGGAACTTTTCGCTTCCTAGTGAAAGAAGCATTGGGCCTTTTTTTTGTTGTTGTTGTTAAGCGCCAAAGCTGCAAAATGGATTTATTTGCGCTTTGCCCACCTCAGGGATCGAAACCTAAACTTTAGCGTTATAAAGGTGCTAACTGAAGTAAATTATTTGATAAATAAGAGAGGAGTTTCAACTATAAGAAATACTTTAATATATCAATATTTCCACTAAAATCTTCGCCAGGGCACCATGTAATGTAAAAACATAGTACTGTACATATGATATAGAAATACACATAAAATTCAAAGATTTTTTCAGGGGGATAGATAGGTATGTAAAGCAAAACTCCACAATAGACTATATGCGCCCCGTCTACTGGAAAGAATCGAACCTTGGATTTTAGCGTTATAAGTCTGTAAATTTACCACTGGACCCCTCTCCCCGAGCGACAGACTGATAGATGCAAATAATTGTTTTGATTGCCCGATGTCTTATTTCATTTCACGTCTATGTTCAAATCTTATCCTGTATTTGACTTGAACTGGTAACATCATGTTACATCTAAAGTTCGAAGTTCGATCCATACAGGACGCGTTTTAGTTCATGATGATAAATATTATGTTGAATATTCGCATCAATCATAATAGCTGTTACAATAACTCTCAAAGTACTAAACATTTCAAATAACTATTCATAAAGATTACTGAATGAATAAATCCATTGCGGTTATGTATTTCCGTCCTGGTTTCGTCATAATAAAAAAAAAGTTCTCAGATAAGAACTTTTCCAATATGCGGAACTTTTATAATTCCTTAGTCCAATGACTGATTGTAGCGCCATCTCGTATTGGATATCTATCTTAAAATCACACACTTTAATATTTGTACATTAACTGCAGCAGACATAATTAGTATACGTCTTTGCCATTTAAATTGAAACTTGCGGAAACCTACATAAAATCTAGTTAATTTTTAACCAAAGGACCAAAACGTAATGGGAATTTTGTGTAACTTGTGTGCAAAATTATCAGTTTATCAGTTATTAAGGAGTAAACAGATCGGGCAAATTTAATGTTCAGAATAAACAAATATCCGCTTTGAATTACTTTTATCCTGTTATTACGAGGGAATGTTTACAGCTTTCGCATTTGTTTACTGCTCTCTAATAGAAAAATGTTATACGAGTCATAATATGTGCTTGTTCATAAGGTTAGGCCTCACAGTGGGTCAGCGGTTAGTCTTCGGACCTTCAACGCTAAATTCTGGGTTCGTTTCCTAGTTTATTTGTTTGTTTGAAGTTAAGCACAAAGCTACACAATGGGCTATCTGTGCTCTACCTATCACAGGTATCGAAACTCGGTTTCTAGCGTTGTAAGTCCGCAGA